TGTGTGGATTCTTGAGTGGTCAAAGTCCTAGAAACAATGGGAGGATGGTGCCCCTAGGCTGGGCATACGGGAAAACTGGGAGCTCGTATCCAGTAGGCACGAAGTCCCTCTGGGAAGGGACACAACACAGTTCAGGAACGGATAGTGCTGATTGGCTGCACAGCACACGGGAGTCTTTGCTGCTGCAGAGCTGTGCTCTGGCTAAAGTCACCCGATCATACTTGATGCCTGTGTGTATGGGTGCTGCATGCTTAACCCCATCAACAGCAGTAACTGTCTCTAATGTAAAGATGTAATTTTCACATGTAAATCAGCATTTTAAAATGGTTAAAGTGATCAATTTTGTGTTCTCTATATTTTACCACCAAAAAATTAGAAAGCATATCTTTTTTAAAATTATGACATGTAGTGTGCTGTGTGTGTGCGTGTGTGTATGTGCGTGTGTGCGTGTGTGTGTATGTGCGTGTGTGTGTGTATGTGCGTGTGTGTGTGCGCGTGTGTGTGTATGTGTGTGTGCATATGTGTGTGTGTGCGTGTGCGTGTGTGTATGTGTGCGTGTGCGTGCGTGTGCGTGTGTTCGCACATGTGGAGACCAGAGCACAGTTTGTGGCGGTCACTTCTCTCCTTCTGTCATGTAGATTCTGGGTATTGAACTTAGGTCATCAGCTTGATAGCAAGTGCCTGTAGCAGATGACCTAGCCAGCTCCAAAAAAAAAAGATCATTATGGTCCTCAATTACTTTATAAATAGAGAATAATGGAAGTTTTAGAGTAAAGGAAGGAATAACCACGTGAATTATTGAGAAAGAAGCAATGATAGTAGACTTATAACCAAGGCACCAAACACGTTGCAGCATGGGGCAGGGTCTTTATTTAACAGGGTTTTAATCCTGTCTATTCTGCCTTTCCCATGATCCCTATGATTACTTTATAAAAACGTATTTTCAAACTTTCGGGCTTGCAGAGATAGCTGTACATACAGCTGTGGACCCCTATCTGACAGCCCTGGACCTCAAGAAGCATAGAAACCTTTGTTGTGACTTTGGCCTCAGCTGCCTGTAGAGCCCATGGTGGTCACCTCTCAAATACAGTTTCTGGGTATGGAGTGGGCAGGGCGCCCTGAGCAGGACTCCCTATTCTGGTCACTGGACCAGCTGCTTTAAATGCTTTAACCTAACCTAACCATCAGCTATCTGGTTTTCCTGTCACGGCACACCAAGGGTGTCAACTCAACTCACCATCTCATCACCATGGGAACCAGAGCTCTTATTGCTCCTCCCTAGCCCAGGAGGGAGAGGCCATCTAGTCATGACATCTCCTTGGTGACAGACTTGGGACTCAAATTTAGAACCATTGATTTCCAGGTCCAAACTTGTAGGATGTACCCAAAGGTCAGATGGAGGGGGCAAGTTGGTGGCAAAAAGGGAGACACAGCCAGAAGGCAGGGTGAGGGGCACACCTGTGGCCTGAACTGCTCAGAATGGTTTTGAGTCACATGGTACCGACATCTTTTTATTGAAAACCTGCCTCTAAAGTCCCCGTGTGAGAAGAGCCTTTCAAGAAGGGAGCCCTACAGGATGATGCTGGGACTTTGTGTGGACCGCTCCCTTGCCTGGTGATCATGGAGACCAAGCTTGCCATGTGGTGAAGGGTGCCTCAGAGAAGTCTAGTCAGTCAGCTGCAGCTCTCGTTGGCATGAAGTTAATTTGGTAAATCTTGCTGGCTGCCATCCTTCAGATGTTTACCTAAAGCCTCCATCTACCTCCAAATTTAGACTGATGAGAAGTTCAGCATGTTTGAGACTTATTTTTGCACTTGACTGTGGACAGAATTGTGCTGTTGAGCAAGTACTCACTTCAACCTGATTTAAATTTAATTTTGCTATTTGAGAGAGCAAGACGCATCATTACCCTTTTCCTGTGTTCATCCTTCAAAGTGCAAGTTGCCTAAATATGTCAGGGCTTGCTTTTCTCATCTAACAAACGCTCAGAGCAGGGGGTGTTTGCTGTTATTGGCTCGGTGGCTTGAGGAGTGGTAGGCTGAGACCAACCGTCCTTCATCTGTACGTCTGTACGCTTGCACCATCTCTTTAAAAATGGCTCTAGCCTTCATGTTAGGTTCCAGGCAGAAAAACAGAAAGCCAGAAAAGGACAGAAATTGGACCTCCTTCCTACAGAGAGCCACACCTCCCCGCTTTCACAGTCTTTCCATTCCTGGCTCTTCTACATGGGAGGTGGGTAGAAAGTCTTCAGAGTTGCTCATTTCTGTTACCAGCCACAGAGGGACTCTCTGAGAGACCAAAGGGAGGGTGGGTTTGGAAGGTGACCAGCAGGCTGCCAGAGTCCCCCCTAACCTTCGCTGTTTCTGATGTCACCACACCTCTGTTCTGGCACATCTGTCCATCAGACAACTGGCTCCGGCTCTTGATTTCTGCTCTTCCTGCAGCTAGTGTGTAGGCTCGCTTAGGCTCGCTTAGACATTTAGTAAGCTAAGCAAGCCCCTGTTCATCTCACCACCTGCGTGTTCCAGCCCGCTGTCTGAGTGGGAACTGTGGTTCCAATGCACCCTTGCCAGAGATGCCTGCTGCACAGTGACCACAGGCTTTTCTGGATTGGACTTCGGCAAAGATTAAAAATCCCTGCTTTGGAATTTCCTGTCTTGGCAATATCGACTCAGCCACTGCTGATCTTCTTCTATCTCTCCCACTTAATGTTGAGCTCCTGGGTTTTAACTCAGTATTCTGTGTGTACACAAGATTCCAAGGCAGTTTGCATCTTCTGAGCCAACAGATCTTTGACTAAACAGTGCGGTCATGACAGAAGTACCCCTCCCTGGTGCACATGTATTGTGTGTGTCTCTCTTTCTATATGTGCATACGTGTATGTGCACATGCCTAGAAGTGTACATGTATCTCTGTCTGTGTGCACATGTGTATGTGTGTGTCTATGTCCGTGTGTGCCTGTGAGTGTATGTGCATGTGGGTACACATGTGTGTTGGTGTGTCTGTGGTGTTTACCAGTGCATGCACACATGTGTGCACGAATGCCTGTGTGTGGTGTGCGTGTTTATTTTGAGAACCTCACAGTGTAGCCTAGGCTGGCCTCTCACTCGTGATCCTGCTGCCTCAGACGCCTGGGTGCTAGAATTACATATGTGGGCCACCCTGCCGAGACGGTCTTGACTTGATTAGAACAGAAGCAGTAGTAATGTCCATTGATTCCCACTGTTTAGGCCGAACCTCAACAACAAACGGGCAAACTCTTCTAATTTGAAATAGAGTGTGTTCATGCCAGCCATTAGCGGCAAGGCCTGGGCCTCCGCCATTTCTGATGGAGATACCCTGATTCACATCTGTTTGTCCCGGGCTTTCCCCACCACGCTGTTATTTCAGGGCATAAATGCACATGCAGAAATCAGTCACTCACACGTCTTCAGCGAGCTACAGAGCTTTGGAGGAATTAATTCCAGGAGAAAAAAATATAGAGTTGAGGGGTTGGAGAGACGGCTCAGTGGTTAAGAGCACTGGGGGATCTTCCAGGAGATCCGGGTTCGATTCCCAGTACCCACACGACAGCGCACAACGTCTGTAACTGCAGTTCTAGAGGATTTGAGACCCTCACACAGACATGCATGCAGGCAAAGCTCCAATGCACATAAAATAGGAATGAACAAAGAGCTTTAAAATGTTGTTTAAGTAGGGAATTGATTCTATGACACCAAAATAGATGCTTCCAGAGATATAAGGGGAGAGAAAGCATCACACCTGCACACATTAGCTGAGGGAAGTTCTTTTCTTTCTAACACAATAAAGCTCATTTTAATAAAATAGACAAGGGCTGGGGAGGTGGCTCAATGGGTAAGCAGGTGCTGTATAAAAACATGAAGACCTGAGTTTGACAACATTCGTTTGGAAACCAAGTAAGCCAGACATGACTGTGTGTGCCTGTAACCAGCACTGGGAGGCAGAGATAGTTGGATTCCAAGTGATCAGTGACCAATCAATCTAGTTGAAGTAGCGAGCTTCCAGCTCAGTGAGAAATCCCGCATCCAAAAAAAAGAAAGAAAGAAAGAAAGAAAGAAAGAAAGAAAGAAAGAAAGAAAGAAAGAAAGAAAGAAAGAAATCCTGCATCCAGGCAGTAAAAGAGAGTGCCATGGAGGAAGACACCTGCCCTCCTGCCCTGGCCTTTGCCTGCACATGCAAAAATGCACATGCGTGTGCACACGCGCACACACACAACTAATGCTTTTTTTATTCTATTTTTCTACTTTATAGAACAAGGAATTGAAAATATTCTTGACCCACATTTTAAGGTTAAAACATGAAACTTCAAACACAGCTTGATTTTCTGGTACCTAAGCTAAATGAGATGGACAGAGATGGAGAAAGGAAGGAAGGAAGGAAAGAAGGAAGGAAGGAAGGAAGGAAGGAAGGAAGGAAGGAAGGAAGGAAGGAAAGAAGGAAGGAAGGAAGGAAGGAAGGAACTCAAGGGTAAAGGTTTAATACCTCCATCCATTCCTCTTCTGCAGTCCCTTGTGGCCAGACAGGAGGGCATGGCACACAAGCCCCCAATAATCTTAACATTTGAGGGCATATAGATTCGGGGAATCTGTCCTTTTAAAAAAAATTTTAGAGGAAAAACTCAATAGTTTACTCCATGATAAGGGCCATGGAGTGCTCTGAACTGGAAATCTCATTGGCTTCACAGCCTCTGGCATTTTTGACTCCTGCTAGGACCTCTTGGCATTGAGGTGACCTAGCTGGCTGGATCATGAACTACTTCTGTTATTTACCTTGAGATCATATAAGAGAAGTCAAGAACCAAGTCGACTCCCCAGGTTGCTGTAACTACAGAATAGTAGCTGGTTTCTATGCCTTTCTGTTGCATTACTACGACCCAGATATCCCACAGCCTCAAGGGACCGCTATCAGTGTGATCAAAACATCTTGGTATGAATTACTCATTTCCCATGTAACCTTACACATCTTGTGACTCTCCCTAGACCTGAAAGACTCCGGAAGAGGCACTGCAGGAGAATCGTGCTCTAAAGAAGCAGTGTGGAGAATGACTTTCACGTCCCGCATTTCCACTGAGGCCTCTGTTCTTGTTACTCTGCAGGTAACGTAACTATTTTATAGTGAGAAAGCTGTCGGTGGTAGCTCGCCTGGCAAGAGCCCCATTGGAAGACAGCCTAGTTAACCACGCTGAGACAGTGGCACTGGCTGTGATCCTTGCGACAGGGTACTGCAAAGGCCCTGTCTGTGAGTGTTTTGTGTGTTCACAATGCTGTAAAAGACTAGGGACGGTTTTGTTGGTTATGTGGTCCTTAGGGATGACTTTTCCAAACCGAGGCCAACACAGAACCTCTGCAGAGAGTCACCCCTAAAAGAGTGGGGAGGGGCTGAGAGCAGAGACCTAAAGCTTCTGCTACATAGAACATGGCCAGCACCGCTCTATGGGGCGCTGGAACCACCGAGGCTCTGCTCGGGAGGGCTCCAGTGCACTCCTAGATGCCTTTGGAAGAAATCCCTCAGCAGCCAGTGTTTCAAAGGAAATGGGGAACCACCTCAAAACCTGAACTAGAGCTACTCTCTCCTGTCTCTCACAGTCGGGGCAGGTCTGGGTCTACATCGCTGCGAAACCCCAGGGAGAATTCTGAACCTAAGTTCAAATTCCTGTCAGCAGAAACATGTTGCTGAAGAATAAAGAATGGAGAATCATTTAGGATAGCGGGGACAGGGGTGACAATGAACGTGCTGCTTCAGGAAGACAGAAGGGAACTAAGTACTGGCTCTGGGTTTCCCTGGAGACCCACTCTTCTTACAGAGAGCCTAAAATCTGATGTTTGCAGACCAACATCTTTTCCCTATAGTGCTTTTGCATGCATTGTATCATAGGACTTTCACAATAACTGTGTAAAATAGAGAACCTGTTATCCTGCTTAATAGCTTAACACTTTGGGCATAAAAACATACCTGTGATTAATAGCTTGCTGGGTCACTTGAGGAAGCTTTAGATAGGAAAGCCCAGACTAGAATTTGGGTCTTTGGGCTTTGTCCTGTTGATCAGCTGCAGTGTACCAGGGTGAATGTGTTTGGTGCTGGAGCAGGGGGGTGGGGGAGACGACATGGATGGACAGACTTGTGTTCCTGTCTAAAGACAGATTACAAACAAGTGCAAATGGAGTATTGTCTGTGGCGATGGCTCAGGAAAAAGTTCATGAGTGTGGGTAGGCTGGAGAGAGAACTGAAAAAGGTAATCAGAGAGAACCCCAGGGAATGATATATTTGTTTTTCTACAATGTGAGAACCCTAGCAGGCTAGGGTCCAGGGAAAGGTGGTCTAGATTAAGAAACGAGCACACAGGTCGGTCCCGAGGCCATGAAGAGACAGGGGTTCTAGAAGGTCTCAGAAGACTGTTGTCACCTAAAGCTCAATGAGAGAGAGAAAGAATAGACTGAACTTGTAGAGAAAGGCAGGCACAGGAAAGGAATTCTGGCTTTATACGGTAAATGGCAACCCAGTGAAGGGTTTGGCACACAGGGAGCAAGTGTGCTTGCAGGGCGTGTCTTATCCTCTCGTGAAGAATGGACTAGAAGAAACAAGGAAGCCATCCATGTAGGAGGCTGTTTTTCATGCAGGCAAAGTTGATGTGGCTTAGGTTAGAGAGACTCCGTCAGAGTGGGAAAGAGAACCAAGGGCTCCTATAGTATAGGACTAATATGCCTTCCCAGTATGAATTCTCAGAGATTAATAAACAAAATATCTTCAATAGTAGCACATGACTGGTTCTGGCTAATGCATCAAAGGAAACTAGCCCTGAGCTGGAATCCCCCATCAGTTTCGTGGCCCCAAGCTACACTTTGGACAATTAAACATGTTTCACAGAGACAGAAATTCTAAGTGTGGTTTCTTAGACAACTGGGGAGGTTTCTAATGTAAAATATTGTCACAGTTATCCCAACACAGACCATGCTTCTTTCTCCACACAGGGTCACCCTGCCTGCTGGGCAGGATCACACTCTTCCTGAGGAGAAGACCAGGGACGGTCCTTGAGCTAGGTTCTACTTTGTATAGTTTAGCATTTCCTGAGCACACTTAGTAGACCATTTATTATCAGCCATTTATTAGTCCCAGTTCCGCTAGACCACTGAGCGGCTGGAAGGGCAGGGTTGGGTTGTGGTTGTAATAATTGGGTCATGGTTGAAAGGCCTGGCTCCTCTACACACTGTAACCCAAAGTAGGTTGTGTATCTTCTGTGACTCATTTCCTCATCTGAAAAAGCAGGAAGAGTGATAGTGCCCAACCCATCAATCTGCCAGTAAGTACTTACAATTAACACTGACATTCTGCAAAGACCATTAAGAAGGGACAGGCTTGTGTTTATGGACTCTGACAGTATGAAGATATTTGTTGTCTGGTAAGGACCATCTTAGTGACTGGTCAAGCCAAACCGTGCTCGATGCCACCATGAGGAGCCTACATAAGGGACTGGGGATCCTGCCCCCTGTTGAGTCCCTTGATGGCCAGCAACGGTTAGCTGAACACAAATCACTACAATCTGAATGTGTCCTCTTAAAATTCGTGTTACAACTTAACTGCCGGTGTGATAGAAGATGTCTAGGAGGTTCATCATGCAATGGGTTGAGCTGTCACGGAGGGAATTAGAGAACTTCTCAGAGGTGTGAGGGAGTGTCTCACCTCTCCCACACCTATGCCCTCCTGCCTTCTGCTATGGGGCAACACAGTAATAAGGGATCCTCTTGAAAGTTGGAGTGAGCCAGCCCTAGATATGATCTGCACTTTGAGCTTAGCTTCCCAACTTCCAGGACCATGAGAAATAAGTTTCAGTTGTTGGTAAACTCCCAATTTATGGTATTTTGTCATAGCAGTGGGAGCAAACTAAGCCACATGTGTAGTGGAGAAAACGTGTTCCCAGCATCCCAGCCCTGAAGTGAGGGTCTGTGATGGGCAGCCACCTTTGGAGGACTGGAGTCTCTGTCACCTTGAAAGTCTTTTCAGTCTTAAGATTTTTTCATTTGGGTTTCTTTGGGAACTGTGCATTTGTTAACTAAGCACTGGTGGGAAAGACCTAGAAAAAGATACTATGATTGCATGTTTTTGTTCCTGTTGAAAAGCATAGTATCTATCGTGGGTGAAAGAAAAGGGTAGGACTGCCTGTATAGTGAAGCTGCCCTTAAGGGCCTGGGGAGCACAGAGGACATCTTAAAATCAGGCTGGAAGAACATGGTGTGTTGTAGGGAGAGCGGGCCCCCGTGTTTTGGCCGCCCGGCTAGCTTACACCTGAAATAATCACACAGAAACTGTATTCATTAAATTACTGCTTGGCCCATTAGCTTTAACTTCTTATTGGCTAACTCTCACATCTTGATTTAACCCATTTCTTTTAATCTGTATATAACCACTAGGTCGTGGCTTACCAGGAAAGATTTAGCATGTCTGACCTGGCATCTCTATGGCGGTTCTCCCTCTCTGCTTTCTTTCTTCCAGAATTCAGTTCTGCCTTCTCCACCTACCTAAGTTCTGCCCTATCAGGCCAAGCAGTTTCTTTATTGATTAACCAATGAAAGCAACACGTTAAAGTGTGCTCCTACACCAATGGTGTCCACAGAATGTCACACCAAGTTATGGATCACTGCAAGCTTTGTTCCCTACTACTGGCTTCTCTGACTTCCTGAGTTGTTGGTTTTTGTTTTGTTTTGTTTTAATGAAATGAGAATGAGATCTTGCCTTTCCAGGGCTGTCTTCATGTACCTGGAGTTTTTTAGGTGCTTGTGTTTTGCATAGGTACCGTATTTACCTGCTCCACACTGGGACAGGTATTGGCCTTTGCCATGCTCTTTCTAGACTAGAACAAAGAGCAAGTAAACTCGGAGAGAAACTTGTCCTCCGGCTCCTTTGCACAACTCTGAGTTACTGTGGGGGCATTGCAGAAACACGCTGGAGCTGAGTCATCCTCCCACCCGAGGGCCGCAGTCCAGAACTTTCTGTGGTAGGTGATGAGTGAGGTGATGAGGATCATAGCCTCATTGAGATCAAACGCCGGGGTAGCACCTTAGCTCATCCGGCCATTGCACACCGGATTCCCTCTGTCTAGGAGGAGATCTGGGTTTTTATTTACTTTTGTTCCTTTTTTAAAGTGTGCTCATTTTTATATTTCTGTCCTTGTGTGATGAATGATGACTCTACTTTGTAAGGCTCTAGGAAAAAAAAAACAAATTCTGACATTCCCAAGTTAACAAGCTTCTCATGTCCTATTTTCCAAGCTGACACATAATAAAACAAAGTGTAAAGATTCAAAGGTGTGTGCGTGGAGGGAATGTTCTCTTCCTGGAGAGAGATTTCATCTAGAAAGTCTGAAAAAAACACTCAGGAATTCTCAGACAGCCCCAACTGCATAGCGACAAGCTCTGAGCCAGGCGTCTCTGACTCCTAGGGTGAGCACCCTCCTCTTCCTTTAAAGGGTCCTCCTACTGACTGGAAACTGGGTAAGATCTGCATCAGCTCACTGATGCCTGGGCCTGGGACTTCAGGAGACACCACCTAGGTCCCCAAAGGTTACTTCTCCAGGCAGGTTCCGGCTCAGACAGGTATAGTGTCTTACGAGTGGAATCCATTTGTCTCTGCTTCAGGACAGTTATGCAAGACTTCCAGTGGGAACATCAGCCAAGGGCTAAACTATTGTGGGAAACCTGGAGACCGTTTCTCCTCATATCCAGGTGATAGGGTTGTGTGTGCCAAGACTTCCTGGCTCTAAGATCCAGCACTACACTTTCCATATCTGGTTCTTGGACAATGTGGGGTTTTGTTTTGTTTTGTTTTGGGGGTTTATCTTTTTAATTTGAGACATTAGTAAAACTGAGTTTAGAGTCGGGGAGACTTGCCATAAGGAGAAAGCCTGAGAAAGGGACATCCCTGCTTACCCAGCCATGACCAAAGAAGCTTTGCGACCACCATCATGGGAAAGGCCCCTCTGTGGGAGGAGAGGTTTCTGCCCCTGCTCTTGGGTATTTTTTTTATTTGTCTTGTATGCCTCGGTTTCTTTTCTTTAAAAAGATGGATATTGGCAGTTACCACCTCATTATAAAGTCTGTTGAAGGGATTGAGTTACGCCTATAGAAATCCGGAACCACGTTGAGTAAGTTCACCTCCACAGCAATGCTGTTAAATTAACAAAGAGTTTGGGCTGGAGGTTGTGGGGCACTGACTTTAAAATACTGAGCTTGTATTGAAGCTTCAGAGGTAGATTGAGAAGATAGGCAAAAGCTGGAGGTGCAGTGGAACGGGCCTAGCTTACATGGGGCTCTAAGTTCCGTCTTCAGTGCTGCAAACCCAGGTAAAAGGCAGTAACTGTGAGTCTAGGCTTCAGGAATGTTTGCCACTCATCCTTGTATCATTGCCACCCCCTACCTTGTTCAGGAATAGGGCAGCCATGTTCTTAACATTGTCCACATAAAATGGCCTTACAGATTCTGCTTTTAAAAGCCCGGGGGCTGGTGAGATGGCTCCGTGGTTAAGGGCATATGCTGCCCTTGCAGAGGACCTGAGTTCAGTTCCCAGCTCCCATGCCAGGTGGCTCTCAACCTCCAGTAACTCCAGCTCCAGGAGATCCAAGGCCCTCTTAGGGCCTCGGTGGGCACTTGCACAAGCGCACATTTCCCCACACAGGTGCACATGCATACACAGAACTACAAAATAGAAGTCAAGCTTTTAAGATAGATACACGCAGTGAATCCTGTTTAATGAGAGAACCGAAAAGGCTCCAAGATGTGTGAAGCAAGCTGGTCATGGGTAAGAAGAAGCCTTACAGGAAAACAAGGGAAGGCTTTTATTTTACTAAATGTTTCATGAACTCCATACTCAGCTCCATACTCAGCTATGGGCCCCCATATGCAGCACACAGTTTAAGACCCTGGGGGCTGGAGGGCTGACTTTCTAAATCCTGTCCTGAGCAAAAACAGCTGACCTTCAGAGAGGTTAGCTAGACCTGGCTAGTTACTGAGTTCCCCAGGGTCCTCAAGCTAAACTCCGTGACGTCCTAAAACCCACCACTTCTCTCTCCCTCCCCCCCCCCTCTCTCTCTCTCTGTCTTTCTCTCTCTCTCTGTCTTTCTCTGTCTCTTCTCTCTCTCCCTCCTCTCCTCCTCCTCCTCCTCCTCCTCCTCCTCCTCCTCCTCCTCCTCCTCCTCTTCTTCTTCTTCTTCTTCTTCTTCTCTCTCTCTCTCTCTCTCTCTCTCTCATCTGGTAAGCTCCTGAGAAGCTCTATAAGAATGAAATTCTTTTATTTTATTTTATTGCGTGGGTGTTTTCCCATATGCATGTCTGTGCTCCACGTGTGTGAAGTGCCCTCAGGGGCCAGAAGAGGATATTGAATCCTCTGGACATAGAGTCACAGATGGTTGTGAGCTCCCATGTGGATGCTGGGGCTCTAACCTGGGTCCTTTGGAAGAGCAGCCCATGTGCTTAATCACCGAGCCGTCTTTTCAATCCTCAGTTCTTGGTCCCTAAAAGCTGTAACTTATTCAGTACTTTTCTTTCCAGTCATCTTACTCTTGTTCCTGATCTACTAGTCCCCTTCCTCACCAGAGGAAGGCGCATCCTCCTGCTCCGATGGCCCTGGGCTCCAAAGATGGCTGGACAGCTGCTGGTGACTGTAGCCTTTGGCCCCTGCTTGCAAGCATTGGTACTTACCCTCTGTGCATCCTGGCACTCAATGTTGCTGCCTCCTAGCTCTAGCAATGCCAGGAGAGCTGGGGAGATCACGGATTGAGGAAAGGCTTCATGTCTTTCCTGTTGGGACTTTAGTAAGGAATGATCTCCTTCGGAATCATTATAGGAACCTTGCTGTCATTTTCTTCTTCCGGTTTGATTGTCATGGCTAGGAACTCATGTCTTTATGGTGACAGACTTCACAAGACAACTTCCTTGTCCGCCCAGGTAAGAAGGGACATCCTCTTCTTCTACTGGAAGTCATTCAGAATGTAACTGTTTTAGACTCCCAGCCAGCAAGCTGCTGCCTGCCCACCAGCCTAGAGAGGAAGGTGGCCAGAGTATTGTTTACAGGAGGTACTGAGTACTGATCAGTAGGGAGCAGTGGGGAGCAGTAGGGAGCATTGGGGACAGCTTAGCTGAGTCCACCCTTCAGCCTCAGATAGGGCCTCAGGGCTCCTTTACATCCTCAGTGCCTGAGGTGCCAGGGGTCTCCCGGGTCTGGGCTGCAGGTGACAGGAGGATGGGGGAGGGGGGACTGTAATTTATAGGTGCTGTCCACCTTCACCCCTGCAGCTGCGAGTGGGACCATGCTGTCCTCTGCAGAGCCCACTGGCTAAGCCCAAGCTCACTGTGTGCAGGAGCAGGAGGAGGCTAAGGCCAAGCCAACGCCGGGGATTTTAGTCTCCTTGGGCCTCCTAGAGGAGCTTTCCCTCGGCTGGGGCCCGGGATACAGGACTGCTTTCTCAGCACGCCCAGCAGCTTGGAAAGAGGCCAGTGTCCCTGTTTAGGAACTGGCAGGAACTCATTAAAATCTGAGGGCATGCCACCTCCGAGGCCTTTTACTTTTTTTTTTTTCTTAATTCCTCTTTTTGCAAGCTCCTTCCTTGTTCTTTGTGAATTTTATACCACATGCTTTGATCATATTCTCCTTCCTTCCCCCAATTCTTCCCAGGTCCCCCCTCTTCCCTAGCCACCCAGCTTTGTGTCCTTCCCCCCACACTGAGGCGCTTTTAGTTAAAGGACCATGGTTGGGATAAGAATAGTTTTATTTTGACTTAGGACAGGTTACTAATACTGGAAGGTGCCTCTTGTCTGGCTCTAGCCAGACAAGCTTATCTTCCTGAAAGATCTCTGGGGAGCAGACAGACATTCAGAGAGCCAGGACAGGCCTGGGCTGTCCCAGTGCCTCCCCTTTCTCTTTTGGAACTCACCCCTGTCCCTGACCAGAAAAGGCCAGAGCAGAGAGTAAGAGCCAGTTCCAGAGGGCTTTTTAGAGCACACACACACCACACCTGCCATTGCCCAGTCCTCTGGGACTGGCCTGTTTTGAGCAGCTAGCCCTGGCTTCCAGGCAGCTCAAACTCACCGAACCCAAGAAAGGCAGGAACATAGATGCTGAGACCCTGTCAACAGGCAGACAGCTGGCCCTTATCTCTTTATGTAAATGTGAAGCTGGTTGTTAGGTTAATCACGGCGTGCCAGCTCTGGGAGCCTGTGTCAGTCTCTTTAAACATCTCACTTGGCCAAGGGAAAGATTAATTTATGCTAATTAAGAGCCCGGGACCCTCAAAGCGCACTGGGAATTGACTCATCTCCTGTCTCAATTCATCACAGCACAGCATCTCTGCACATGTGTGCTCAGACTTCCTTCATCTGTGCTGCAGGGTTACATTTCCTCGAGCCTCTTCCCAGCCTATGCTCTGCGGCTGCCTGGGGTCCCTTTCTCAGCTCACTGCTGCCTCCTCCGTACTCAGCCTGACCACCACGGTTTTCAATTCCATTTCTCTCCAGCCCTCACCTCCCACCCAAACTTAGGTGGTGGCCGTTCTGGTCCCCTGGTGGACATGTCCGTGTGGAAATTCTGAAGGCACTCGGGCGGGCTCAGTGCAGTCAGAACGGGGCCTGCCCTCCTCGCTGTCCTGGTTTCTGTCTCTACACATGGTGAGACCATCCACTCGGAATCTAGTGAGAGTAATCGCCTTCCGTTCAGCTCACGTGTGCACTCACAGATCGGGTGGTAAACACGCTTCAGATTGATTTATCCTGCCTTCTCCACGCCACTGCCGGGTCCAGACAGCATCTTTGTTGAATGAGGGCCCCAGCTCCGGGGTCTTGGTCCACTGTCAGGTCTTAGTTTTTGCTCTTCCAAATACACACAGTAATTGAGTCTTGGTCACTCTGGCTCAAGGTCGCAGGTTTCTGCCTACCTTTACAAAGCTGTGGGGGGAAAAATCTGACTCTTCCACCCGCAAGGCAACACACTGTAAATCCGAGGCCACTTTTCTAACTCTACCCTGAACGAGTGTTGACCCTTTCCCAACCTGAAGGTTAAATTGCTAATTCCTATGAGGAAATGGGGACTAACAATGAAAGAAAGAAGGTTTATGCAGTTTTTACAGTCTGTACATCTCACAGTCTGTCTGATGTGATTCCTGAAGTGGGTTTTTCTGAAGTTAGGAAAAGTTTTCCTAACTGACCTCTGGCCTCCATCGTCAACATCCAAAGGTTGGAGGAAGCTCAATGATCGTTTGGGCTTCAAGTGAGTCGCTGCATCTCTGAGAGCCTCTTGATTCATCTAGTTCTCTCAGCTGCTACCCAAACCATGGTAACCCTGCCTCAAATATGCTAAGACGAGATGCAGACTGTACGAGATGCAGTGTGTAATCAACCTCCCGTATCTGTGGGCCACTTGTCTGCAAATTCAGCAAAACTCATTTAGAAAACCTGAAAAGGGAAATTATAGGGAGTTCCTAGAAGCAAAACTTGAATTTGCCCTGAACCCGGTATTGTGATGAACCCTCGTGAACAAGCGTTGCGTGGGTTCCGCATTAAGTATCGTAGGTTGCCTAGAAACAGAGAAAGGCATGTAGGAAATTGTGTATAGGTTATATGCAAATATTAAGCCATTTTATCTCAGGAACTTGGGCTTTTGCGGATCTTGCCCATCACCTGGAAGTCCTGGAGCCAGCCCTCCACCTTACCAGTGAACAACTGGTTATTATCATCCGCTCTGGTTGATAACCAGCATCTCTCTAAATGAGCTAATGTTCGTTAACACCTACTAACAAAGTTTGTTCGCAAAGTTCCCTGACAATATAGTTCTATTTCATTATTTCTGGATTTGCTCAGGACTTTGCTTTCTTTATCTTTGGGTTCAGCCCTCTGTGTGGCATGTAGTAGGTGGTACCCAATAAACTTTAGATTAAACTGAATTTTTCTCCTCATATTAGTTAATTACAGCTGCCATCCCTTTCTCCTCTGCAGAATGAAGATATTCAGATGTTGCTCTAAATACACACTCCAGCAGAAGCTCTTCGTCCTCTTCTTAGCGCTATGGCTGCTCTCCTTGTTAAAGCTTCTGAATGTGGGCCGGCTCCTCTTCCCTCAAAGAGACATTTACTTAGTTGAATATTCCCTAAGTACTTCCCCTTTTGTGAGGAACAGGTTCCCCCCCATCCGGGATGAAGTCAGGTATGAAGTTAACTGCTCAGGGATCTACGAGCAAGAGCCTTTGGAGATCGGCAAGAGTTTGGAAATCAGAAGACAGAACATCATCGACCTGGAGGATGGCGACGTTGTGGCGATGACCAGCAACTGTGATATTTATCAGACCCTCAGACAGTACCATGAGAAGCTTGTTTCAAGAGAGGAAAAGAGCTTCCCAATAGCCTACTCGCTGGTCGTCCACAAAGATGCGATTATGGTTGAGAGGCTAATTCACGCTATTTACAACAAGCACAATCTTTACTGCATCCACTATGACCTGAAGTCACCAAACGAGTTCAAAGCCGCCATGAACAACTTAGCTAAGTGCTTCTCCAATATCTTCATCGCTTCCAGACTGGAGGCCGTGGAGTATGCCCACATATCCAGGCTCCAGGCTGACTTTAATTGCCTATCAGACCTTCTCAAATCTTCAGTTCAGTGGAAGTATGTCATCAACCTGTGTGGGCAAGACTTTCCCCTCAAGTCAAATTTCGAATTAGTGTCGGAGCTGAAAAAACTCCAAGGCCAGAATATGTTAGAGACGGTGAAACCTCCTACTGGCAAAATGGAAAGGTTTACCTACCATCATGAGCTCAGATCGGTGCCTTATGAATACATGAAGCTCCCAGTAAAAACAAACATCTCCAAGGAGGCTCCACCTCATAACATTGAGGTGTTCGTAGGCAGTGCCTATTTTGTTCTAAGTCAGGCATTTGTTAAATATATCTTCAACAGCTCCCTCGTTGAAGACTTTTTTGCCTGGTCTAAAGATACATACTCTCCCGATGAACACTTTTGGGCTACCTTGATCCGGATACCAGGAATACCCGGAGAAATTTCCAGATTGGCCCAGGATGTATCTGACCTACAGAGTAAGACCCGCCTGGTCAAATGGAATTATTATGAAGGCTTCTTCTATCCCAATTGCACTGGCTCGCACCTTCGAAGTGTGTGTATCTACGGCGCTGCAGAATTACGATGGCTTATAAAAGAAGGGCATTGGTTTGCTAATAAATTTGATTCTAAAGTGGACCCCGTCTTGGTTAAATGTCTCGCAGAAAAACTTGAAGAACAACAGAGAAAGCTCATCACTTTGTCTTCACAAAAGTTCATTACAGGTAGAAAACCCAGAGTCACACGCCATCGTAAGAGCACCATGGAGCTGGGACTGTCTAACACAAAGAGTTAAGATGGAATTGTGGACCCAAGCCTTGCCCAACACGATCGGAACTTTTAATGCTTTCCCAGGCTGAACCTTCTCTAGAATTCCATGCATGGACTGTGAGCCTGCAGTTGGTTGGGTTTTGAATGCTGGTTTTGCTTGTTCTCTTACCGAGTCAGAGATCTCAAATGTTTAGTGATATAACTTTTATTGAGCACCTGACACTGCTCCAGGCACCTTATGGAAAGACATGCAGGGATTAAATTCAAGTCATAATGAGTTGTGCCCTCAGGAAGCAATGCTCACCCTCCTAACGTGGCAACTGCGGTGTTTTCCTGTTTTCCGTGTAACGAGGAGGGTGCTACTGGAGAGGACTTTGGAGTATGTGCTAATCACAGCCACTAGTCTCTGAAAGGGTGTGAGTGCCAGGCCAGCTCTCTACCTGTTTCTTAGTCCAGCAACCGAGACACTTTTGAACTGTTAGACTATTAGGATTTCACTACCTCAGAGAAGCGCAAAGAATTGTCTGATCGCCTGCTTGCCAAAGTGTAACTTACCTTTCGGTGCCTCACTTTTTGATTCAGGGCGGACGGAATGCTGCTGGTGTGATATTCGTCGGGTATGACTGTCTGAGAAGGCAGAGGGCCCGGGTGGTAGGTGGGTTGGGACAGGTGATGTCCAAAGAGGAGCCAAGGGCCTCTTTACTCATCCTTTGCACAATGGTGTCATGAACGACTCTCTTTCTAATTCATTTGTTCTTTATAGCACACATACTAATGAAAATCAAACTGACTACTAGTTCAAAATGGCACCCAGCAGAACCTCAGGCCTAAGGTAGGTTGACATTGATAGGTTGACATTGTGGATGTGATGGCGCCCTTGCCACAGTAGCATGCTTCTGATGGAGTTGCTAGTTCTTTCTTAGGTAACTAAGCCAGGGAGTTATTGTGATTGCTTACACATTTTTCTTTTTCAGCAAAATGGAATCCAAATTCAATTCAAAATAATAAACACTCCAAGTTAGTGTAGTGTTTTTCTCAGCTGAGCATCAAAGGGGGTATTGTTTTCTTTATTTTACAAATGCTAGCACTTAAGAGAATCATTTAATGGGCACACACAGATAAGTTTCAGGGGAACTGGAGGGTGTCCTGACAGTTAAGAGCTCTTAACTGCTGCTTTTGCAGAAGACCCAATACCAGATAGCTCACAACTGCCTGTAATTCCAGCTCTAGAGAATAGAGTACCCTCTTCTGGCCTCCAAGGGCACCTACACCCATCTGCATACACATACACACACACACATACACACAAAGATAAATTATATGTTTTTATTGAGTTTGAGTTTTGCAGAGAACCTGCCCAGGTCTGTTGGAGGGTGAGGCCTGAAGAAGCTATCATTTCACTCTCCCTGGGCTTCTGTGTGCTGACCACACAAAAACTTGTGGCTTCCTAACAGGTTTTTTTGCAACTCCAGGGAAATGCCACATAAAGCGGAGAGAAATGTTGAAATATCAGTGTGATAAGAGTATAAGACAAACACAGGTCCCAACTTTACTGTGAGACTTAAACACAAAGAGAGGCCTCTGCCGTGAGGGAACCTCTGTCACCAAATTCAGGTCTGAGAAAAAGCCCCGCCAGGGCAGAAGTTTCTTCTTCAGCCAGTAGCATTGACATGCTGGCTGGCTGGTTTACACAGGGAATGAGGATAAGAGACACTTCACTAACCATCCAGGGTCAAACTCCAAAGGTCTTGGTTTAAAAAGAAAAAGATTCTCTTTTTGTTTTTATGACTTTAGTCAAACAGAATGTAAGTACAACAGATGAGAAGCAACTACCTGGCCCCTTTGTCTTTCTGGAGAGAAAGGCCCGCTTCCTGTTTATTAGAAAGTGGACGTGGTCAGACAAAGACATGGCAATGCCTTCTTTTCCCTGTGGACATGCTTCTCCGGACCCAGAAACATTAGCTGCTCACATTTTGGGGAGCTTGCCAAAGCACAGGCTCTTGTCTTGGGAACCCTGTACGTTCCCTGTTCACTTTCAGAACTGATTCTTATAAAAACCTTTTGCTATACAAGCCCTTCCCCAGTCTGAGACTGCTCAACACTGCTTTGTAATTGTTCTTTGTTTAGTATTTATTGAATTTAGACTCTAATTTACTCTAGGATGAGAGTTTACAAATCATGTGTGAATATTAAAAGAATAATGAAAGCCTTCACAATATATTATGTGATCAAGCTACTGTACCATAGATGTGTGTGTACTGAAAAGCCGGAATTGCTATTTTTCTTTCATCTATCTTAAATAAAAATATCATTGAAAGTTAGAATTTCAGAGCTGGAGAGATGTCTAGCAGTTAAGAGTGCTGGCTGCTCTTCCAGAAGACCCAAGTTCAATTCCCAGCACCCTCGTGGCAGCTCACAACTGTCTGTAACTCTAGTTCCAGGGGATCCAACATCCTCTTCTGGCCTGGCACCAGGCACACACAGGATGCATGGACATGACATACATGCAGGCAAAACACTCATGCACATAGCATAATGAGGTGAAACCTAAAGATTTCTCTTGACTTCCAGAATGTGAATATATACATTCTTCTATATTTCATAGAAAATAAAATGACACTCTGGGGAATGTAAAGTGAATGTATTGTTAAGTAAATTAAAATCATTTCTGTTGCTGGTGTTCTTCAGTTGTTTTCTTATCGCTCTCTAAGCTCCTTTGATTGTGTTGTCCGTGTCTACCATTTCACTAATAAATTTCCCATGGATGCATTTGAAATAGCAATTTATTGTTCTAATTGTGGTGCTGGCATGTGCTGGTTCTGACATTGCAAAATAAAATGTGCTCCTCCAATCAAGCTCCGTGGGCGGTTGCACTTTCCTGTCTGTGCACATGCTGGCCCCCACGGTTGGTCTCGCTGGCCTAGCAGGTGAAGAGCGGAGCTCTTTTCTCTCAGGTGAGAAGGATTTGCAGGACATCACACTCGGGAGACAGACCCAGGAACTCAAATCGCTTCATTTGATGAAGGCTCAAAAGAACCCTCCAGGCTTGCCTGTCATTGTTCTCCACTTTGGTTCCTCTCCTAAGATTAATTATCTAGGTTTCTGAGATTAATTATCTTGTTTGCCTGATAACTTTCCAGAAGTTCTGGAAAGAGCGCTCACTTTTTAGCCCCTTAATCACTGGAGAAAGGGAACTTTTTTCCCTTGGAAGAGTTCTCATCATCGTTGAAAGTTCATAGAGAAGCAGGGCTGGCCACCACTGGTGTGGACCAAATGTTTTCTTTTAGGCCAACAACCAGCTCCCAAATCATGACACTTCTTATTAGTTATGAATGCTCCTCCTTATCTTATGCTTGTTCCACCAGCTATTATAACTTAAACTGTTTCTCTTCATCTACATTTTGACCCAGGGCTTTTTACCTTTCTTTCCTTCTGTATGTCTTACTTTCACTGCTTCATGTTGGGCTGGCTGGCAGTTGCCTGGCTTTCAGCCCCAGGTGTATCCCTCAATTTCCCGCTGCATTCTCTTCATTCTTCTCTTCTTCATTTGAGCCTAGATCTCTCCTGTGTGTTCTTTCTGCCCACCAGCCCCACCTATTCCTCACCCTGCTAGCTAATCACCATTCAGCTTTTTATTAAACCAATCAGGTGCCCAAGACAGACAAAGTAAAACAAATGTAACACATCTGTACATAATTAAACAAATGCAACACACCTTCACATAGCTAAAGTAATATTCCGCAGCATGTAACAAACACATCTATACCTAGTTAAAATAATATTCTACAACACCAATGTCCCCAGGCTTTGCTAATTCAGTAATAGTCACACACCTAGCTTTTCTGTAAATCCCCAAGGGTTTTGTATATCCTGCACATAGATTATGAACCTTTTCAACAAGACCATTTTAGGAACCATCAACAGAAGAGAAATAAGCACTCTGCTGCCCCCAAAGGTAGGTCTAACTCTCGCCAAATGCAATCATCGGAACTTCAGGAAACGTTGGGCATGTTTGCTGGTGCGTGGCTACAGAATCACGAAAACTCTAAGCTAGAGGTTGTGATGCGTGTCTGTATTTCCAGCACTTGGAAGGTAGAGGCTGTAGGACTGCAAGTTTCCATGGCCCTTCATGGTGAGACTATCTCAAATGCACAGGAAAAGGTACTATGTTTGGATTCCTATGGGAAGTTCCAAACACTTTTGTTCTCCTTGCCATCCATAGATCCGTATCCACATTAGAAAATTATAGTTTCCCGACACTAGTTATGAGGAAACCCTGGCATGAGGATGTTTCTCTAATTTCTTTGTTCAGCCCATTTGTCATCTGTATGTAGAAGTTTTACTGATTTTTTTTTGAGTTAATACTGTATCCAAAGGGGTTTCCCTGGTGGAATTTTTGGTGTCACTTATGTATACTATCATATCATCATCAAATAGTTAAAATTTAACTTATTCTTTTCTAATTTGTATCCCCTTGATTTCATTTTGTTGTCTTATTGCTTTAGCTAGGACCTCAAGAATCATATCTAATAGATATGGAGATGGTTGACAGCCTTGTCTTAATCCTGATTTCCGTGGGATCACTTTGATTTTCTCTCCATTGAGTTTGATGTTGGCTATTGGTTTGTTGTACATTGCCTTAATTATGTTTAGGTATGTTCCTAGTATACCTGCTCTGTTTAAGACTTTTATCATGAAGGGGTGTTGAATTTTGTTGAAGGCTTTTTCAGCATCTAATGAGTTGATTGTGTGATTTTTTTTTTTTCTTTCAGTTTGACAGACCAGCAGTGAGGCTAACTCTCCCACACTTGCCCGCGCCATTGCCAGGAGCGTCAGCTCTACTGTGTGGCTCGGGTGAGGTACAGGGCCTGCTCTCTTCGGTGCTGCAGCCAGTAAGATTCTGGACCGTCTTCCTTCACCAGTTCTCATGACCTCAGGGCCAGCTCTCCCACCTGCTATAGGTGGTGAGGCTGGAGGGGGGACAGCTCTCCCTCACTCATGCCACCAAATGGCCGATGAGGTGCCCCCCTGGCGACGGGGTCATCTGCACCATGCTGCCTAGGTGAGGTACAGGGCCTAATCTCCTTGGTGAGGGTGTAGTTGGTTGATTTTTTTAATCTTTACTCTTTGGGGGCCCACCACCCTGCTCCCAAACAAATACACAGAGGCTTATTATTACTAAATGCCTGGCCTTACCTTGGTTTGTTTCTAACAAGCTTTTCTTAACTTTAGCTATCCCATCTACCTTTTGCTCTGGGCTTTTATCTTTTTCTATTTCTGTGCTTCTTTTTTCTTCTTATTCCGTGTCTTGCTATGTTGCTGGATAGCTGGCCCCCTTACTTCCTCCTCTCTTCCTTTTCTTGCTCCTCTTTTCTCTCGCTCTCCTCCTATTTATCCTCTCTGCCTGGCAGCCCTGCTATCTCTCTCCTGCCTGGCTATTGGTCATTCAGATCTTTATTAGACCAATCAGGTGTTTTAGGCAGGCAAAGTAACACAGCTTCACAGAGTTAAACAAATGCAACATAAAAGAACGCAACACATCTTTGCATCATGGAACAAATATTCCACAGCATAAACAAATATAACACATCTTCAACTAATATTCCATAACAGAGGGCCTGGATCAGCTCTCTTTCCTAACACAGGTAGTGAGAGAGCAGGAGGAGGAGGAGGAGGGTATCTTTCCCTTGCCTATACCACCATGTGGAAGATGAGGAGCCCAAGCTCCCTCTCCGCCCCACCCCAACCAAATAAGCTCTGTCATGATGCCCAGGGAGGTGCAGGACCTGCTCACTTTCTCCAGGGCTACAGCTGTTGAAGGGTGGACCAGTTCTCCCTAGTGTTGCAGTCAGTGGGGGGCAGGTCCAACTATGTGCAGCTCTGTCCTCTTGGCCTTTTGGTGGTAACAGGAGCCACAGACATCAACACAACCACGGCTGTGGCGGGTCCATGGGCACAGACATGGCCGTTGGCTGCAGCTCAGCCTGGATGGCACCATGGCCTTGAGTGGCATGCAGGTTGCCCAGGTCAGCCCACTCCTCACTGCCTTCACCTTCATATCTGCCTCTATTTACAGGACATGAACTGTTCTCTCTCTCTCTCTCTCTCTCTCTCTCTCTCTCTCTCTCTCTCTCTCTCTCTCTCTCTCATACCCCACCGTACATTTGCTCACCATAGACAAGCTCATCTCCCAGCACCTCGTGATGGCCATGTATTCTCTCCCAGGCCCAGGCTAAAGCATCCAGGACTGGCATGTGGATATTTTTCTCCCACCCAGTTTCCTAATTCTGCATTTCTAAGATGCAAAGTGCGATCCTGAAAGGGATGGATTTTTTTTTTTAAATTGATTGCTGTTCATATATTACAAATCTCTGTGTCTGGGAGCTATATTGATTTATTGATGTGTGTCAACTATAATCTCTTACCTATGAAGTAGAGTGTCAATTTGTTTATTCTAATAAATAGCAATTCTGATTCTGAAAACAACCAGAGACCTTTGCCTAAAGCAGGAACATAGATCTCACCTAAAAACCCAAAGACAGGATTTTAATGCATGAGTACACAGAGCAGCCTTCCCTGGCCACTGTCTGACTCCACAGCCCTCCCCCACTTCTAAGGACCTCCTTGGCCCACTCTGTCTCCCCTCATTCCTCCCATCACCTTGAACTCTGCTTCTTTGCCTACTTTGTGTGATTCTGCATTCCTCACTGCACAGCCTAAACGTCGTTAGGATAAAGTATAGATTCACAGCTGTTACTGTTGCTCTGCTAGTTCCTAGGGCCCGATCACCGAGAAGATAGGAGGCATTAAAACATATGTTTTTAATGAACAAACTTCCCTCACGCAGAGTACCTGGCTCACTTATAAGCATCTGAACCATCTGCTTCTCCCTCGGATTGATGCCTCTCGTTGGAGTTGGACATATATGCAAGAGGCCAGGTCTCTGGATCAATATGATGTAAATTTCTAAAAGCAAGTAAGTGCTTCAAAAACATATCCTGGGTGATCTCGGGATAAAATCCCCGGCAAGCGGGCTCATGGAATCAATTCTGAGACTCCTGTGAATTGAGGAAGAGCACTTACCATCCCTGAGTAATCTAGCCAGAAGCCCCGACTCTGAACACTTGCCTGCTTTGAACATGGGCTCTTGTGATTCTAAGGGAATAAGGGAAGCACTTTAATTTATCACCTTGAGGCTGTACATATCCTCTTGTGAGGGTGAAGGACAGGCTGGGAAGCGTTTTTGCAAGTGCAATCACAGACGTTGTAGTGTGTGCAGATGGAGACTACCGTGTCTGTCTCTGCTGGTCCCACTTCGCAGTGCGGCACAGTTCCACACAGTGATGCTCCTCCAGGGTGCCCTTCTCCTATGTGCAGCAAATGCCTTGCAAAGGAATGCTGGTCACCACCATGTGCCTATCTAAGTGTCTCCTAAGGGCTGGGTACCATCTTGTATAACATCCACAGCAGTGGATCTCAACCTTCCTAGAGCTGCGACCCTTTAACCCGGTTCCTCATGGTGTGGTTTTCCCAACCATAAAATCATTTTGTTGCTACTTTGTAATTGTAGTTTTGCTACTGTTATGAATCATAATACAAATATCTGTGTTTTTAGATGATCTTAGGTGATCCCTGTGAAAGGGTCATTCAACCACCAGAGGGGTTGCGCCCCACAGGTTGAGAACCACTGATCTATGGTAAAGACAAAGAAGATGTGGTGGTAATGACTGGGAATACAGAGACCTGTGACCAAGACAGGAGGGAGGGTG